TTTTTTTTTTTTTTTTTGAGACGAAGTCTCATCCTGTTGCCTAGGCTGGAGGGCTGGAGTGTGCACTGGTGTAATCTCGGATTACTGTAACCTCAATCCCCCCACCCCAAGTAGCTGGGACTACTGGGACTACAGGCATGCACCACTGTGCCTGGCTAATTTTGTATTTTTAGTGGATATGGGGTTTCGCTATGTTGTCCAGGCTGGTCTCAGACTCCTGAACTCAGGTGATCCACCTGCCTCGGCCTCCCAAAGTGCTAGGGTTACAGGTGTGAACCTCCTTGCCCCGCTGGGATGTGTTTTCATTTCTCTTGGGTGTGTACCTAGGAATGGAATTGCCGAGTTACATGGTAACTTTAGGTTTAACCTTTTTGGCAACTGCCAACCCATTTTCCAAAGTGGCTGTCCTTTATATTCCTGCTGGTCATATATAAGGTTTCTCCACGTCCTCCCTGACTCTTGTTATTGTCTGTCTTTTGACAGACAGTAGCCTGTCCTAGCCATCCTAGCATGAGCCATGTGGTATCACGTATGTGGTTTTGATTTGCATTTATTCCAGATACGTGTTCCTTACGAGACATATGATGTAGTATTTCCAAAGATTTTTATGCCTTCCATACATGGATCTAGATTTGATAACTATTCTGTTTGCGTATCCACTCTGAGTGAAGCTCTGCAGTGGCAGCTATATATGGATTATTTCTTTTGATCCTCATGATAACTCCTAGGTATACGTAATATTCAGTTTACATATGCCAAAACTGAGGTGTGAAGGAGTTAAAGAACTAGTCCAGGGCCAAACTGTTATTGCCTAAGGTCTGAGTCACACCTGAGCCTTGCTGTATGCCTAGCCTCTGATGTGTAGTAGGATTTGTGTTGACACAGAGCTGCAAGCTCCTCTCCTGGAACTTGGAGCTTATTGGAGTTCCTGGCACATGTGTGTGCACTCTTTCATGTACATGTGTTCATACCAGGCCAGCATCCAATGTCAGCCTTGACCTCTCCTGTCTGTGAGTCCTTATGTCCATACCCCACAGAGTTCCTTGTTATGTGTACTGTACAGAGTCTACTGTGTCTCAGTTTTCCACTGGATATTTTATGATTATGTATAGACAAGATAGATAAACGTCTTTCATCGAGGGGCCTTAGCATAGTAAAAGCAAAGTAGAATTAGAAAACTCTGGGAGGATTATGGAAGATAATTTTGACTTTTATGTGAGAAGAAATTTCCAAGTAGCTTGAAGCTGTCCCTCAGTGGAATCAGCTGCTTGGTGAAGAACTTCCCAGAACTGTATATGTTCAAGCAACAGCGGAGGTACCCTTCTCTCAGGGTGTTGTAAAATGCATTTCTATATTGGGCTGGACCCTGAGGCCTCTTTCACATTGTGGAACTATTTGCCCTTACTAGAGTTGACATAATACAGCTGTAGAATGGCATGCCGCTTTCTCATATGATGTGGCTTCTGAATAAACATAGTGCTGAACTCTTGGGAGATAACAGGGTGAAGATGTCTTTATCCTTCAAAATTTAATCTCCTTTGAAAAACATACTTTTAACTACTCAGACTGTTATAAAACTTCCAGCTTTAATAGATGGGAAGGACTCTGATCAAAGATGTAATCAGGGTAACATCTTTAGTCTGTAACCCCTCTGGTTCTGGGGTCAGCCATATCTGAGTTTGAGCCTTTTTTTTTCTTTTAGTCATAGTTTCACTCTTGTTGCCCAGGCTGGAGTGCAATGGTGCAGTCTCTGTCACTGCAACCTCCGCCTCTCAGTTTCAAGTGATTCTCCTGTCTCAGCCTCCTGAGTAGCTGGGACTACAGGCTCATGCCACCACGCCCAGCTAGCTTTTGTATTTGTAGTAGAGAAGGGGTTTCACCATGTTGGCCAGGCAGATCTGAAACCCTTGACTTCGGGTGATCCACCCACCTTTGCCTCCCAAAGTTCTGAGATTGCAGGCATGAACCACCACCCCCGGCCCTGTGTTTGTCTTAATTCTAAACTGTTCTTTCTGTGATACATTGGGCTAGTTACTTTACCACTTAACACCCCAGTTTCCTCATCTAAAAAACAAGGATAGTAAAAGTATCTCCTTTAAACAGAGGTTAAGATTCTGTAATGCTTGTCTGGCACATAGCAAGTATGTACTAAATGTTTATCATTTGAGGGAGGGAGAATTAGAGATGTGGATGGTTGTTAAAATGTAATCTAATTTTTAAATTTTTCTCAGAGGAAACACAAGAATAGAAGAGGCTTGTGAAATGTATACCAGAGCTGCAAATATGTTCAAGATGGCTAAAAATTGGAGTGGTATGTACAAAATTTTTGTTTGTTTTTTGGGCAAATGGTTTAAAAACACTTTGAAGGAAGAAATGACTGTTTTCACCTTAAAGAGCAAGACTATTGGCCCCAGAGACAGGTGTCAGTGCTGAATAACTGGTGTGGCTGCTGGTGACATATGGAGACTGAAGGAGTGTGTCTAAGTGAACGAAGCTTGAAAGTCTGGCTTAACGTACAATCACAGGGACAGTGTCTGTCTTAGTTTCCATATACTTCTTAATACAGTAGGCATGTGGTAACTAATAATAGTTAAGAATTACTTGGAATTAGAGTAATCTTTGCTTTTTACTAATATGCTCAAATAAATACAGCGCTATAAGGAATGAAAGTTGGCATAAAAGCCATTAAAACTAGTGAGATAAAGAGAAATGCCTGGTTTTCTTTACCTGAACATTGGTTGAGAATGACCATTCCCTGCTATTCGATAACTGAATGTAATTCCACTGAGAACTATGGCAGTTGGGGGTCGGGGTGGGGGGATGGATTTAAAATCATCAACCTCAGCAGACTCATGATTATTTTTTAACGTAAGCTTTCTACCCGGTGAGTCCGGGCATAACAAAATTCCCAGGATGATTATTGTCATTGGTCTGAGAAGGGATGGCTGTTTCAGAGGAATCATCTCTCTCCCTTCAGCAAAAGAGATCTTTCATGGCTCAGTAATGGTATATTTTTATGGTGAAATGGAGACCACCTTTGACCAGAGCAGGGGACGTGGGTATTGAATTCTGCTCACAGCTGCTGTGGGAATGGAAGTGGGACTCTTGCCCTCTACAAGCTGTTTCAAGGCAGACACTTTAAAATCATTTCAAAGGAGAAAATGCTTTTGAGTTAGATGAATCTAAAAGATCTCTTCTGACTTTAAAGATCTTAAGAAGAAGTTTAGTTTTAGCTAAGGCTTTAGTATAAAAGGATATGCTATTTTTCAAAACATACTTATGCCTGAATTGTGTTTTTAAAATGGAGGAGAAATTTGTTTCACATTCCATCTTTTGTTTTGTTCAGGTCTTATAATCATAAGTAGAAAGTGATCTTACCTGAAGAGACCACTTATTTATTTATTTATGTGTTTATTTTGAGACAGAGTCTCACTCTGTAGCCCAAACTGGAGTACAGTGGTGCAATTTTGACTCACTGCAACTTCAGCCTCTGGGCTCAAGCGATTTTCGTGCCTCAGTCTCCCGAGCAGCTGGAGCTACAGGTGTGTGCCACCATGCCCAGCTAATTTTTTATATTTTAGTAGAGATGGGGTTTCACCATGTTGCCCAGGGTGGTTTCGAACTCCTGAGCTCAGGCGATCCGCCCACCTCGGCCTCGCAAAGTTCTGGGATTACAGTTGTGAGCTACCATGCCCAGTGGAGACCACTTATTACTTATTATATTTGGTGATCAGATATTCTAACCTTTGGAAAATTCCACTTCAGAGAGGCCGCTGATCATGTATGTAACTAAGGAGGCTTTGTGTGTACAACCTCCCCGCCCCCCTGTCATCTGTTACCTGGGGTGATGCTCTAGCCTCATTGCCATATTTCTTCTGCAGTTTCCCAGTCTGTTTCCATTTATGCCCGAGGTTGCAATTTTTTGAATTTTGGAAATCAGACCTTGGCGATGACCTTGAGCAGTAGGGTAGGATATAAATAACTCCCACATGCTTAGTGTTCCAGTAATGGAACACTAGGCATAAATGTGGTAATGAAGTAACATAACACAAGTTAGGTCATATCATTGTAAATAACAGCTAACATCCCTATAGTGGCCCTCAAAGACTATCACCTTCCTTGTACACCCAGCTCCCACCTCAGAGCCTTTGCGTGCACTGTTCCCTCTGTCTCCCTACTCTTCCCTCAAACAGAATGTTGCTGGGTCCCTGCCTCCTTCAGTTCCCTCTTCACATGTCATCATCTTGGTGAGGCCTTCTCTGGCCACCCTTTTAAAAAATAACGACCTTCTCCTTCCTGGAAACACTTTTTTTTCCTCCAACGCTCTTATCACCATCTAGCAAAAATAAATTGCATAATGTTTTATTCATTTATATTTACATGTTTTTATTATATGATGATTCTCATTAAAATGTAAACTTTGGAAGGCTAGGATGTTTGTTTTACCTCTGCTGTATCTCCAGGACCTAAATTATTACTTGCAAAGTCATAGGCACTCAGTATATTATTTGTTGAGTGAATATTAGACTCTTTGAAGTTCTATCCATATTGCATTGGTGATGATTGTAAAAGCATTGCATCTCTTTATAGTTTTAAAGTTCTTTTATAATGATTAAGCTAATTTGTTTGATACTCAGCTTTTGAGAGATCATCATGACAGGTATTATACCAGTTTTGCAGGTGAGCAAATTTAGCCTAAATTGTGTGGCTTCCCAGAGGCCATTTAATTTAATTTATGCTCCTTTAAAGACACTTCAAGTTTAGATACACCAAGCTAGCATTTGCTATCAGTGATTGGAATGAGTACTCAGAGTAAAAGTAAGCCAGCAGCTTTTTTTGGAATGTGGGAATGTGAAAATATAAAATTAAACCCCTTACTATTATCTGAAGAAATAGAAGGAGCCCAGAAGAGCCTGGGTGTTGTGGTATTATTGAGCAAGAAAAGGATGGACCATGACTGATTCTGGGTCAGGAAACATAGATAAGTTCTCAAAAATGAAATGCCAGCAGGAGAATAAGGATGTAGGTTATAAAAAAGAAAAAAAAAGATGGCATTTAAATATGCCAAACCACAGATATGATCTAAGGCTAGATTTGCATATAATAATGAAAGTGGCCACTGTGTAGAATGTGAGTCAGGCCCCTCTATTAGCACTTTACATGCAGAGTCCAAGCTATTACTACATTCTTCTGAGGCAGAGCCCATCAAAGCTCCCACTTAGCAAGTATGTTCCTGAGCTGTCACTTCATGGTTAAGTGCTGCCCCTAGTACCGCAGGTGCCTGCCCACTGCCCTGGCAGTGGCCGTTGCCCCTCCTGGATGCCCCCCAGCCTCTCATGATTCACCAGGGGCCAGCAGAGCTTCTTTAGTTCCAGCTCTAGCCCTGTGGCTGGCATCTACTCTGATTGTTCAGTGCCTTGGTTTCTTCCTGCTGCTATAACAAAATACCTTAGGGTAATTTATAAAGAAAATAAATGTATTGTTAAGAGTTCTGGAGGCTGGGTAGTTTAAGATCAAAGTGCCAGCAGATTCCATGTTTGGTGAGGACTGCTCTCAGCTTCCATGAAGGAGCCTTCTTGCTGTGTCCTCATGTGGTAGACGGGACAAGGCAGCTCTCTTCAACCTCTTTTATAAGGGCACTCATCCCATTTGTGAGGGTGGAGCTCTCATGACTTCATCACTTTCCCAAAGACCCCACCTCTTCATACTGTCTAATGGGATGTCAGGCTCCAGTAATACAAATTTTGGCGGGATACCACCATGCAGATCATAGCAGTACCCACGTCATACTGGTGGTTACATATTTTTCAAAATTGCCTGGGTATTCTTTTGATCAGAAACTGAGGTACAGAGCAAAATTGAACCTGGGCAGTTCAGCTCGAGTTTATACTGTCCCTTTGCCCTCAGGTTCAGAACCCATGTGAGAATTAAGCATGTTCTCTGGGGAGAGGGAGTTGGGACAAGAAATGCAACTGAAGCTTTAGCAGAATTGGATGTTTATGGGCAGGTGTGGTGGCTCACACCTGTAATCCCAGCACTTTGGGAGGCCGAGGCTGGAGGATTGCTTGAGCCCAGAAGTTCAAGACCAGCCTGGACATCATAGTGAGAGCCCATCTCTACAAAAATAAAAAAATAAATAAAAAATAAAAAATAGCCAGGTGTGGTGGCACATGCTTGTGGTCCCAGCTACTTGGGAGGCTGAGGCAGGAGGATCTCTTGATCCTAGGAAGTGGAGGTTGCAGTGAGCTGTGATTCTGCCACTGTACTGCAGCCTGGGTGACAGTGAGACCCTGTCTCAAAAAAGCAAAGAATTGGACTTTTTTTCCTCACAAAGAAATTTGTAGCAAAGGTTTAATATCAGCAGTGAGTACTGCTTTATGATTAATTTTTTCTGAAATCTAAAGGCTTTGTGATACTCTTAACTATGCTTTTCCTGGTGGAGCAGATTCTTTCTTCGTTTCTACTGTACTGACTTCCCCAGTGTGACTCATTTGTCGGAGGCACTCCTCCATGTTGCTTTCTCTGAGCTCAGGAATTTATACATGTTGATGTTTAAACCCTCTTGGAAGCGGCCTGATGCAGCTTCAGCCTTGATTTCCACTGCCCTCCTCCAGTCAGGACAGGCTTGTCAGTGGCCTCCTCTTTCATCCCTTTCTTACCTTCAAGAATTTCTTCCGTGTTCATATGATTCCTCTGCTAGCGATTCCTTCTCCTTTTTCAGCACTCCAGAATCAATGGTCCCTGATCCAAAATCTTTTCAGAAAAAGATTAGTTAATGTACCTTATACATTGTGCCATGTCCCCACTTGGAGACCTGGCCAGTATCCCACAACCAGATCCATCGGTGATTCTGCAGGGAAATGTATAAATTCTCATATTAAATGGGGTAAAATAGATTAAACCTCTTAAAATCAGTCAGATTTTACTATAAACTGAAGAAAAAATTTTGGATTTTTAGACTTTTGGATTTCAAAATTGTGGGCCTGATTTTGGCTCTTTAGGAAACTTACTTTATCCATAAAGCCATTATTAGTAGTTTCTTCCACACTGACAGCTAAGTCCAGTAGACACTGAGAAAATTGAACAAATAATCCGTGAGCTCATTGTTTTACCTTTCTTTAATCATTTGCGGCTTGAAGCCCTTGGTTGGTGTTTATTATATGTTTGTGGAATCAAAGTGAATAGCCTAAGACTTGGCCATTGGTATTGAATGGCCAGACCAGGAAATGGTGGCTTAGTGCCCAGGAGCACTTGGAAAGTCTGCTGGGGCGGAGGTGGAGAAGCTTTTTCGCTGTCTGACTTGATTCTGGTTATTTTGGTATTTGCCCAAGATGCACTGGACCACAGGGATTTTTGCTTCTGATTGGAATGCTTCTTCAGTGGAATATAACTTTTCTAGGGAGGCCCAGTACTTAGAGCATGGGCTTCTCTGTGGGGGGATTTGTTCCTCTGTGTTTAATTGTATTGTCTTCTTCAGCTGCAGGAAACGCATTTTGTCAGGCAGCCAAGCTCCACATGCAGCTTCAGAGCAAACATGACTCCGCAACCAGCTTTGTGGACGCTGGAAATGCTTACAAAAAGGCAGATCCCCAAGGTAAGCCAGCCAAGTGCATAGCATGTCTGTCTCTGTGTATAACTAACCAGTCATTGCTTCCCTCAACTTTAAGGTCAGTGTTGGTGTCCATTCGAGTCCTGGTAAAAAGGAATTTTTGTATTTTGGAATAATAGAGAAATTTTGATAACCTTAGGGATTTCTTTTAATGATTTAGGAGCTTTTATAAGGAAAAAATGTGTTAAATTTATACTGGTTGTTTAGTTCATAGCATCATTTAATTAAACTCCATTTATACTGCATTTTAGATAATTTCTGGAAATTACCTTTACTTTTATCTAAGACTTCTTACATCTTAATTTTGTGAAAATGTATATTGATCATAAAAGAAAACTCTTGTATTCCCTTACTCCTAAATACCTAATGAATTTCAAGATCCAGTTAATGGGAGATTACAATATCCAGTCATTAAAAACGTCTTATTCATATGGTATCCCTTTGGTTTTTTAAAATATGTTTTTCAAAGTATTTGTTTTGAGGAAAGAATGCAGTTGGATATTTAATGTGATAAAATTTTGCAAAGGTTGTTTCTTTTTAGTTAGAAGAGTGTAATTAAAGGTGTTAATTAAAAGTTAATTTCTTCTCTTTTATACATGTGCACAGAGGGAACTTTTGAATTTTTCCATTTTTCTTTTAGCAGTCCATTTTGTTTAACACACAAATCCCAAATTTTGAGAATAAATATGTCATAAAGAAATAGGGTATCTTCAAGACCTTTTGTATAAAGATTAATCACAGTTTATTTCCCAAAGTGAAAAACTGGACACAGGTTAAATGAGCTGTTAGAATGGTAAAATTATGATGTATCAGTACTTTTGAATATGGTGCAGGCATTAAAATCTCTGGTTTCAGAGAATCTTCAGTGACCTGTTAAATATTTACGTGGCAATTAAAGAAGCACATGAGACTGAATGTTGTATAATCTCATTTTCAGAAAAAAGTTTGTGCACATAAAAATATATCTAATAAACACAAAGGAAAAGTACTTCTGAGTACTAGCAGTGGATTTGAGTGGGATTATGGATAGGTTATTTTTCTCTTTATATTCTGTATTTTTAAAGGTATAATGGATCCACATTTTTTATATAGTTTAGAGGGAAATTGTTTCAATTTTTGTTCATCTGCTTACCTTTCTAATTCTGTAGTCAGGCCTTTCTACATTGCTGACTCTTTTAAACCAAAAGCAGTAAACTTGGAGCTGTCGCTATATGCGAGCATTATAAACATCGTCATTTTATGATAGGTGAAATTTTTTGTTTCACTTTTTTACAAAATTAGTATAATTTATTAGCATTATTCTTTATTAGATTTGTTTCTTTTGTTAGTATACTAAAATTTAGCATCTTTGAACATGATACAGAATGTTGACTTTGCTTAAGAGTTGCTTGAATAGGCATTTCAGAGTGATTTTTGCTTTTGGCTGCATGGAGAGTACAGTCTGTTGAGGTGATTGTTCTTGTGATGTGGTGCCATGTTCCAAAATTAATATATGTGCATGGTATTAATGAAGAATATGTTTGCATTTGCATTTTAGCAGATAAAATTTATCAGTGTTGGTGACGGCCTCCATGGTTTTGTTTTCTTTTATAAACACAGTCTTTCGCCTGGATGGAGTCCTCACTTTAAGGTTCAGAGTAACTAAGTCAATATTACTCCAGCTGCAGCTCCTAAATTATAATGTAGCTGCTGGGAACAAAGCCATGCTGATGAATCTGAACTTGTGCATGATTTTTGTTTGCTTCTCACTAACTAACCTGCCCACCCTCCACTCCAAAATTATACCTAATTAACCTTCTAATAACAGCCAAGAAGACAGCCTCACCTGAACCCTCTTTGACTGAATGGATTTTTCATTGTTTTTCTTAAATGCCTACGCTTCAGAGGCTATCAACTGCTTAAATGCAGCCATCGACATTTACACAGACATGGTAAGACATTCCATTGCTTGAGCGGCTGTGGGGTGGAGTCGAGATGGCTTAGAGTTGTATCTTTCTTTTTTATGTTCCTCAACTGGCATTCAGATAGGTAAAATGGGTGTGTGACCCTTTCTTGTTTTTTCCCCTAGGGAAGGTTTACAATTGCAGCCAAGCACCACATTACTATTGCAGAGATCTATGAGACTGAACTTGTTGACATTGAGAAGGTAAGCCATGGGCACACTTCCTCAGATGTGAAGCAGACAGATAGATACATTGACTCAAAGAACTCTCTCCTCTCAGTTTGAGTGATCGTAGATGCAGAGTGATTATAGATGGCCTCACGTGGAGACTTTCAGGGTCCAGCTGGCTAAGTAGATGGGCTGTTTTCCTGGAGGGGGCATTTAAGACATGAGAGCTGGTTAAGATTTACAGAGATCACCCATTGTTTCCACTCTTTGATTCATGTCAGACCATTAGCATTGCCAAAATAACCTTCAGCTGTATTAGTACTCTAAGGCCCAGTGAAGAAAGCCTAAGAGGTGACCATAAACTTGAGAGCAGATAAAATGAAATGTAATGTACTCTTTTTTTTCTCTCAAAAAAAAAAACGGCCAGGTACAGTGGCTGATGCTGATAATCCCACCGCTTTGGGAGGCCAAGGCTGGAGGATTGCTTGAGCCTAGGAGTTCAAGACCAGCCTGGGCAACATGACAAATCTCTATGTCTACTAAAAATACAAAGCAACTAGCCAGGAGTGGTGGCACATGCCTGTAGTCCCAGCTACTCGGGAGGCTGAGGTTGGAGGATCTCTTAAGCCCAGGAGGTGGAGGTTGCAATGAGCCAAGATGGTACTCTTGCACTTCAGCCTGGATGACAGAGCGAGACTCCATCTCAAAAAAAAAAAAAGCAAAACCAATTTACGAGCATTACTGAACACACATACACGTGCGCACACATATGCATGCACACATGCAGGCACGGGGTTAGGTTGTTATGGTCCCTAATGTTTCAGTTCTTATGTTGTTTAGAAACATCATTACCTGGCCAAGCGTGGTAACTCACGCCTGTAATCCCAGTATTTGGGGAGGCTGAAGTGGGAGGATTGATTGAGCCTAGGAGTTGAACAACATAGTGAGACACCCTCTTAAAAAAAAAAAATTAAATAAAAGGAGACATTATTACCTTCCCTTCCCTGGATAGACTCACAATTGTGGTTGGTGGATTGTGAAATTAATGTTTGAACAATCAGTTACACCCAAGACAGCTTATATCTGGCTTGTTACAGATGACTTTCTTCTCCTTCAGCTCTACTACCCAGTGTCTCTTTTTTGATTTTAGCTCATTCACAGATTTTAGCTAGTGGTCAATAAAGTGTGTAGTTTCATAACTTCACATTACTTCTTTTTTTTGAGAGAGTATTTTAGTAGTTGACAAATCAAACAGATGTAACATACTCAATACAAATAAAAATCTTGTGAAACCTTAAAAATATATGTAACATGTTTTGGGAGTTTCTAAAATTTTTTAATGTTTAGGTTTGGGGCTACCGGTGAAGATTTATTATACAGGTAAACTTGTGTCATAGGGGTTTGTTGTACAGATTACTTCATCACCCAGGCATTTTGCTTTTCTGCTACTTTCCCTCCTGCCACCTTCCACTTTCAAATAGACCCAAGTGTCTGTTGTCACGTCTTTGTGTTCAGGTGTTATCATCACTTAGTTCCCACTTATAAGTGAGAACATGCAGTATTTGGTTTTCTGTTCCTACATTAATTTGCTAAGGATAGTAACTTCCAGCCCCATTCATGTTCCTGCGTAAGACATGATCTTGTTCTTTTTTTATGGCTACATAGTATTCTGTGGTGTATATGTACCACATTTTCTTTTTCCAGTTTACCATTGATGGACATTTAGGTTGATCCCTTGTCTTTGCTATTGCGAATACTGCTGCAGTGAACATTCATGTGTCTTTATGGTGGAATGATTTATATTACTGTGGCTATATACCTAGTAATGGGATTGCTGGGTTGAATGTTAGTTCTGCTTTCAGCTCTCTGAGCAATTGCCATATGCTTTCCACAATGGTTGAACTAATTTATACTCTGACCAATAGTATGTAAGTGTTCTCCACAACCCCACCAGCATTTGTTGTTTTTTGACTTTTTTTTTTTTTTTTTT